AGACTTCAATAGTACTTCCTATTATTACTTTTTCGATTTACCTGTTGCTTTTCTCTCTCCAAAAATGGATTATTCAGAGCCTCCCTGAATAAAATCGGGCGTTGATCTCACCTGGACAGGTGGTGCCAAGAAATTTCTCCCATAGGGAAGACAGACTCAGCGCTAGACCAGCGTCGGAGGTTGGGATGGGAGTTATGTGGGAACTCATTTTTCTTTCCTTACTGGTCCAAGTATTATTAACAGAAATAAAAAGGCATATGGCAGACAGAGTAAAAGGAGTTCTGGTGGTGTAGTGGTTAAGGAATTTGGCTGCTAACCAAAAGGTTGTTGGTTCAAACCCACCAGCCACTCCATGGAAGAAAGATAAGGCAATTTGCTTCCATAAAGATTTACAGCCTTGGAAACCCAAGAGGGGCACTGTGAGTCAGAATTAACTTGATGGCAGTGAATTTTTTTTTTTTTTTTGGTTTAGACAGAGTAATGTCCCTCCCAAAGACGCTCATTTCCTAAACCCTGAAACCTGTGAATATTACCTTATAAGCAAAAGGGACATTATAGATATAATGACAAGAAGGTGGGAGTAGGCTGGATGATCTGGGTGGCCCAATGTAATCACAAGAGTCCTTGTAAGAAGGAAGTAGGAGAATGAGAGAGAGCTCTGGTGGTGTAGTGGGTAAGGCATTTGGCTGCTAACCAGAAAGTGGGTGGTTCAAACCCACCAACTGCTCATAGGAGGAAGATGAGACAATTTACTTCCGTAAAGAATTACAGCCTTGGAAACCCAATGGGGGTCGCTGTGAGTTATTATCAATCTGATGGCAGTGGGTTTGGTTTTGGTGGGTAGGAGAATGAAAGAAGGAGATATGATGATGAAAGAAGAGAGTTAGAGTCAGAGATACCTGAAGATGGAGGAAGGATGAGCCAAAGAATGTAGGCAGCTTCCAGAAGCCAGAAAAGGCAAGGAAACAAATTCTCTCCTAGACCCTCGGAGCGAGTACAGCCCTGCTAACATCATAATTTCAGCCCAGTGAAATCCATTTTGCAATCTGATCTCTAGAATTGTAACATAACAAATTTGTGTTGTTTTTAATCGTTATCTGGAGGCAATTTGTTACAGCAGCAACCGAAGTCTGTTGTTATTGTTGGGTACCATGTAATCAATTCTGACTCAGCGACCCCATGTGACAGAATTGAACTGCCCCACAGGGTTATCTAGACTATAATCTGTAGAGGAGTAGATCACCAGGTCTTTCTCCTGTGAAGTCACTGGGTGGAATCAAACTGCTAACCTTTGGGGGTAGCAGCTAAGCATTGAACTGCTGTGCTCCCAGGCTCCTAATAGCAGACTAGTACCAGGCATTTCAAAATGTTTAACTGGAATTGGAAAGACAGACCCAGGATGTTCATTTCATGTTCAAATCAGGCAAATTAAGCACTCTTATCAGTGAAGGTTCAGACAAATGGTAAAGCATACCCTGATATCAAGGCACATTGACTTTGAAATATATTTTTATGGGTTTTATGGATTTTTTTTCTTTGTTGACTGAAAGAGAGAGAAGGTGGAGGCACAAAAAGAGAGAGGTCTTAAAAGGAAATGACACCGAATAGTTGGAAGTAAGACAGGGGATTTTACCTGGTCTCCTGTGAGGTGGCACCTGTGGGCTGATGGCGTTGTTCCCCATGATGACATACTCATAGTGGACTCCTGGGTTAGGCTGCTGGTGTATCATCTGTGAACACAAAGGTCAATGTCAGTGCACTCAGCACACCACAATCCTCTTTCCTGCTGGCTTTGGTTTCATGGAGTAAGTGGCATTATCTATAAATGGTCCGTGGACGGTGCAAATGGTTGATACGTCAGCTGCCAAATGAAAGGCTGGAAGTTTAAGTCCACCTGGAGGCATCTTAAAAGAAAGGCCTGATGATTTGCTTCTGAAAAGTCAGCCACTGAAAACCCCACGGAGCACAGTTCTATCTGATGAACATGGAGTTGGCTATGAGTCAGAATTGACTCAATGGTAATTTTTTTTTTTTTTTTAAATCTACAAATGAGTATAATAACACACTTGTGAAGGAGCTTTGGTGGTGTAGTGCCTAAGGCATTTGACTGCTAACCAGAAGGCTGGCAGTTCAAACCCACCAACCTTTCCTCGGAAGGAAGGTTGGGCAATCTACTTCCTTAGTGATAAAAACCAAAAAAAAAAAACCAACCAAACTCACTGCTGTGGAGTTGGATCCGACTCATAGTGACCCCTCCTTGGGTTTCCAAGGCAGTATCACTACAGAAGTAGAGTGTCCCATCTTCCTTCTGAGGAGTGGCTGGTGTGTTTGAACCACCAGACTTCTGGTTAGCAGTCAAATGCCTTAGGCACTACGCTACCAGAGCTCCCGCCTTGGAAACCCAAGGAGGGGTAACTATGAGTCAGATCTGACTCCACGGCAGTGAGTTTGGTTGTTTGGATTAATACACTTGTGATATTACTAACATAATGTATAGAAATATTAGTGACACTGTGACAAATTAAACAAAAGCTATTCCTAGATGACTTGTGATTTGTTTCTGAAGAATCAAGTACTTAATCTCAGAGAATCAGAAGAAGACTAGGCTAAGAGTCAAGATTTTGTAAATTCAAAATAGGAAGAAGGGAGGAATGGTAGCAGAATGTTTCTGATGGCTCCAACCATCCTATGTGAGACTAAGAGCTTAGATTTTCCTCAGGGCTTTCTAAATGTCCAAAACAGAAAAACATGCTTATGCTACAGAAGAACCTGTTTGAACACTAGGTGGTAAGATGGATTCGTACAAAGGAGCAGCCCTACTTGGCAGAGTCAACCAGGCATCCTTCAGGTTTCTTCAAAGTCTTCCACCTAAACCTGTGATGCTGGCTCAGGAAAGTCTTCCCTCAATTCTCTCCCTTGTTGGCTCTCTGAGTCCCTCTTCTCTCTCATCCATGGAAAAGCCCCAGAATTACAAACAAATGAAGTCAGGAAAACAAAAGGGGAGGTAAGTTTCCCTGGGTCATATTCTCTCAAGAACCAGTAAGCTGCATAGTGTTGAACACTATCTGAGACAATAATAAAACAAAAAAGCAAAATCAGTTTGGCCCAGCAGAATGACTCCTTCCTATTGGCCCTGACATTATATCTCAACATAAAGAAATAAAAAATTTTACAACTGGACCAATAAGCAACATCATGATAAATGGAGAAAAGCATGAAGTTGTCAAGGATTCCTTTTTACTTGGATCCACAATGAATACCCATGGAAGCAGCAGTTAAGAAATCAAATGATGTACTACATTGGGAAAGTCTGCTACAAAAGACCTCTTTACAGTGTTAAAGAGCAAAGATGTCACTTTGAGGACTAAGGTGCATCTGACCCATGCCATAGTATTTTCAATCATCTTATATGTATGTGAAAACTGGACAGTGGATAAGGAAGACCGAAGAAGAATTTATGCTTTTGACTTATACTGCATATACTGTGGACTACCAGAATAATGAACAAATCTAACTTGGAAGAAGTATAGCCAGAATGCTCCTTAGAAGTGAGAACGGTGAGACTTTGTTGCATGTCCTTTGGACATGTTATCAGGAGGGAGTAGTCCCTGGAGAAGGACATCATGCTTGGTAAAGAAGAGTATAAGTGAAAAGGGGAAGACTCTCAATGAGTCGGACTGACAAAGTAGTTGCAATAATTGTGAGGATGGCACAGGAACAGGCCTTCTGTTGCACATAAGGTCACTATGAGTCAGAAGTGACTCAACAACAACACTGGCTGTGAGGAATCTCTGGTGGTGCAAGTGGTTAATATGCTCAGCTGCTAACCAAAATGTTAGGAGTTTGAGTCTACCCAGAAGTGCCCTGGAAGAAAGACCTGGTACTTTACATAAAACAATCAGCCACTTAAAACCCTAGGGAGCACATTTCTACTCTCATACATATGGGGTCCCTAAGAGTCAGGGTTGTCTATTGGCTGTGCAACACAAAGTCCCTTGTGCCCATGACTTCTGGGGAGGAAGCAGTGGTAGGTAGATGGAGCAGTACAATGAGATTTTGGAGTGTAGTTATGAGGTATTCAAGGAGACACTGTCACAGCTGTGACTTTTTTTTTTTTTTTT